GAAATGTGACAGGAAAGTCGTGACGTCGTTGCGAACGAAATGTAGATCGTCGATAAATCAAACACGGTACAGGCGCCGCCGGCGTGAAGTTTCTACGTTGGACAAGAGTCCGAATTTGCGATCGGAGAATTGTGTTTTTTGAGCGGATAAAAATGTACGCCAATAAATCATAGGTAAAATCGATGGCGCGAAATAATTGACGAGATTCTCGGTGATTTATATCGCTATGATGAAATATGATGATAAAGCGCGCAACGTTTTTTTAAAAACAAAAAAATAAATTATTCGACGATTCGTCTTTCGCAATGATTTATTTACAAATGCCTTTGCGCATTGATGCTCGTCGAAGAAGAGAACCACATATCGCGTTAGTTCCAACTTATCGGACAATGTCTACTTTTTGGCAGAAAAATCGCACCGCAGATAATTATGGATGTCATTTACAAGCTGTCTGACCGAGTAACGATAGTGTGACCGCGCAAGTAACGAGATTTTGCTCGATATAAATGTACATACCTAATGTGACTCGATGTCATACACACACACACACACACACACACACTCTCTCTCTCAGAATATCTCCGCGCAACGCATGCAAAACCTTGATAGCACTCCTCCTCCCTCAACCCTTATCTCCCGTCCCTTTCTCGGACAGACCCGTTGTGTGAATGATGCAGTGTAACGTAATTAAATCTAACCTACGTGAGATTAATTTTGCGGTATCTTATGTGGCTGCTCCCCTAGACAAACCTTTTTCACGTCCCCTTTGCCACTGACTGTACACGTATTATATATGTTGTATATATGTGACATACATACATGCACACACGCGCGATTCTCGAGATAGCCGAGTTGGAGCGACGAACGCGAGCGTGACATGACGGGATTATAATTTTAGTAAAATTAATTCGAAGAGAAATTAACGGCGTTGAAAGCGCGCTACGTAATTAAGATAACGTATGAATATTATACGAGAATAATTAAGTAGCAATGATGTTGTGGACATTGAATGACAAAAAACGAGTTTGCATGTTAATCCGCGAAAAATGAATCTCCCAGTTGGTTGGATTTAACTCAGCCGACAACACGGCGGCACATCAAAGGACACATGTCGGCGCGGAGAAAGATAGGTGGTGGAAGCGCCGAGGATTAAGAGGATATTGCGTCGCAGTTTCGAGAGAGAGAGAGAGAGAAGCTTGTGAAATCGGCTTTTTTGACGAGCCCGTAATCGGGCTATGGCGCAATGCCGCTAAAGCCATTCGCTATGTGCTGAAACTCAGCGCGAGCACATGCTTGAGAGCAAAAGCCTAACTTTCTAATTAAAAAGTTCCGTTCTTATATTTCGTGCAAGTTCCACTTAATCTCTCATCTGTGGATTCACGGACGAAATTTGGAGTTAATTAAGAGGAAAACGTTCGTCCTCTTTCCACGAAAATTTTGCGAAATTTATTCGAACACGTCTATTTCACGATACGTTAAAGGAGAAAAAGAATACACGTTGTAAACCTGACGAATACACGTTGTCGAACGCGGACACTAGAGAAATCGTCGCGTCAGCTGGCACAATTACATCGTCGCTGTACTTCGGCGACGAATTAATTCGCACGCCAGACGCATTACTCTTCGCGCATTTAGCTCCCGCGCGTGGTAATTCGAGCGACCGCGATTAAATTGGAATTACGTTTCGATCCGTTGAAATCTGCGGCTCGCGCGCCGCTATTAGTTACAAGCGACTCGGACTGCGTTTAATTGCATCGATTCACCGGAAACTTCCGACGTGAGAGCGGTTGTCGCGCGCGCGGGAATGTGGAGATTTTTTTTCTTCTCTTCGTAACACTCTCTTCGTGAGAATTTCCCGAGGAATTGCAAGTGTTCTCCCGTGCGAAAAGCGCATCTCACCCTTTATCGCTCTTCGCAGCTGAATCATAGAGACAAGGAATGCGACATGCAAGTTCAAATATCGCGATTTGTGTGTATATTATCCAATAATATAATCAATTTTTGTTATATACACATACACACCACGAAATTAAAATCTACTTATCACAAAATTAAATACACCGGTTCGGAAAGTATAAATCTTTCGCTGTCGCGAACGTATGACGTACATCCGCCCGGTGGCGACATTTATGATAAGAGAATTCGATATAAACTTAAAATATTCCTCGGTTCAGCGGCGCGATCCAATTTCGCGCGGCGTCGATTGCATTGCGGCCAATGTATGTGCATACGGACTACGAAACGTCACGTAGCGGGGAGCGGCGCCGCCTCTGATACGTCTTCGATACAAATGCCACAAATAATTCAAAATAAATCGCATCGACGTCGTAACGGTGCGCCGTGCATAACATTATTTACCGTGTATCTCGGCCGCGTTAGAGGAACGCGCGCATCTCTCGTCGCACTTTCGTGCGAACCCGCGAAAACACATCCAACAACACAATATCGTTCGATGCAATCAGTACTCTCACGGCAGCATGCAATTTCGTACGTGCCCGCTCGAGGATCGATGGATCGCATGGATCCCAAGGAATCCAACTGATTGCACAAGCGTTTTCTCTCTCTCTCTCTCTCCCTTTCTCCCTCCCTCCTTTCTTTCTCTCTCATTCTGCTTTGCGAGCTTTTCCCTTTCTTTTTTTTTCATCTCTCGTTCTCGCCCTCGTTCCAGCTTCGTTCCCCGAGAGAGGAATTTTTACAGAAACGATTTTCAATTCGGACCAAGGTTTTCGCATCGTGTCTCTCGTTCTCCGTCGTTGCGTCCGCACGAGTGCACCGGCGCAACGGATTACAAACGCGGACGCGAAATACGCGCAACTTGCGGCGGAGAGTTCGCGACACTCCGTTTTGAATACGCGGGCGTCGTCGTCGCGGTAACGAGCCAATCAGAAACTTCAAATAAAACGAGTTGCTACCGCCGAACACTCGTTCGCGATTCCATGTATATTTCCCGTGGCAGTTTCTCATCTCGCATTTGCACAGCGCCGGATGCTAATTTTAAAACACAGTCGGGGAGTTTCATCCTCCTCTCGTGAGATTTATTACGTGTTGTTACAGACCGCATGAAAAGCAATATCGTATTTTCGTTCACGTACTTTATTAACGGACTCCGCGCGTAGTTTCGCGCAATGAGCATTACGCCGAGTAAAAAACTTCGTTCTGGTTTTCAAATGAACTTCCAGTATAAACATTCGAGGATCAATACAAGTCGCAAAAGGAGTTTGGTTGATAGTGTCTATATAGACAGACAGAACTGCTTGGAAGACGATGCAAATGTTCTGTAATTAAAGCAACGGCGGTAGCAAAGTGAGATTGGCCTAACTACTTTTTTCTACCAATACTGAAAATTCATAGAAAAAGACGGAGAAGAGAGAGAGGACCACTCGGATTAAAAGCTGTATTGAGGATTAAGAACGTTCCAATGACAGAAAAATCTCATTGCGAGATTATCATAAGTTGATGAGTTTCGTTGAGATTTATCAATAGATAATATTTTGATCTTACTTTCCAAAAATAAGTTTTTTGTGTCGATGCGACAAAACAATCACGAGGATTTGTCGTTTATCGCAAGGTATATAAACTATATCTCCTGATCTTGATCGACTACATCCAAGGGGCAACGAATTGAACACTTGAGATCGAGTTTATGAGATTAGATAGAACTTTTTCATCCCTCATCCCGAAACGGAGGGTCAAACGCGGAATGAGAGCTTCATCGATTTGTCGTGTTATTAAGATAAATTGAATCTATTTCATCGCATATTTATTTATTGATACATAAAACCGTTACTTTTTGGAACAAGAGAATGAGGAAGCTGCTTGTTTGTTTTTATTTGCAAGCGTTTCTACTATTAGCACAACACAGACGCGCGCTACGTGCACGCCGTTATTGTTTTTATTTTAACGTGTTGTGCCAGTAAACTTAACCTGTCACCGCGATGACAACTAGTATACACGTCTTACAAATCATATAATACACATGATCTATATATATATGAGAAATGTCAGAAATAACGCGTGAAAATCAAACTCGAAAAATAAAAGAAAAAGAGGAGAATGGAAAAACAACACGCAACTAAAGTCACGTAACAGGGAAAAGAGTAAAAAAGAGAACATTATATATACTATATATAATATTCTATATCTATATATAATATACACACACACATATATATATATGTACCTTAATCAAGTGACCAAAGTCAATGATCCCGCCAAGGCCGCGCGGCCGAGGTTAGTGACTCCACCGCAGTCGCGCGACCGAGGTCAGTGACCTCGCCGCGGTCACGCGACCGAGGTCAGTGACTCCGCCAGGCCGCGCGGCCGAGGTCAGTGACCCCGTCAAGATCGCGCGGCCGAGGTAACCTTACTGTAGTATATATATAATACATATAATACAATATAAAGTATAATATTATAAATATAATAAATTATATGTATAATATTATTTAAAAAAAATGTTATATATAATATAAATTACAGTTATTTTAGTCACGTTACTTTAGTCACGTGTTGTTTTTCTACTCTTTTCTGTCACGTGACTTTACTTTAGTCACGTTTTTAATTTTCTCCACGTATATGACGAACTGTCTCAAAATCGCTTTTCTGTCATTATTTAGTCTCTCGATCTTACCGATTCAGTTCGACTCGACTCGACTCGATCAACCAACCAACCAATCGGTAACGCGGAAAGGAAGCAACAATAGATGCGATAGATTCAACTCCAAAACGCGTACTTCACAGTACACATGGATTTGTTTATATAGACAGAAAAACGGTTCCGATAGCTTCCTTATCTTTGATAAGTATAAAATATATTGACGTTATACAAAACCTTGTTTTATAACAATATTTACACAGCTGAATGGATATTTTCAAAAATGTAATTTACGTACAAATTGTTTGCGTCAAACGTAAAAAACAAAATAAAAGTTTAGTCGCGGTCATGATAATTCAAGGGAGAAAACTATCGCGCAACGTTCACAAGAATTAATTTTCTTTACCTGGTAGCCTCTTGCAGCAACAGGTGAGGTGGTACCCAAAACTTAACCCTCAGGGCAAATCTTAGAGGCGCTACGCCGCCGCCGCCGGTTTGCCGTTCTATAGGGTTTCTCAGATTCAGCCAGAGCTCCTCGCCTTTGGCGTTCTGATACTTCAACCCGAAGTAATCGCACTCCTTGCTGACTCCCAGACAGTCGCAAGCCTGCGAAAAGAAAATCGATCTCGAAATACATTCTTTTTCCATGAATTTTATATTTTATCGCGATTAAATGTTAATTAATATCTACGTATACTGCAAGCGCATTATTGATTATGCCGTACACAGGTGCGTTCTGCAGCTTTTCGAAAATCGACTTGTTCTCGAATGACCAATTTTTAACTAATTCTCTATTATATATCTTCTCGATTTTGCGTTTATAATTAATAGGTCGCTCGCGACAATACGACCGATTAATCCGCCGCGCGGAAACGCAGGTTCCCGATTTGCGGCCGAGTGGCCAAGCGCGTTGCAAGGCGTCCAGGTCGGCCAAACAAATCGCCGGCAATAATTCAGAAAGTTACTGCGCACACAGAAGTAAACGCGCGGCTACCATCCAACCGTGTACAGATACCGCGGAAAAGCGGAGAGTCATTATCCGCTTTTCCTCCAACGCGGCCGACCTTTTCCCATTCTTGCGCGGTAATTTTTCGCAGCCGTAATTACGGAGCTGCAAAAATATCGCGATTAATGCGATAAATTGTATGCAATCAGGCGCGATACACGTGACGAGTTCAAACTATTCGTTCAGAAACATTGCCTGACGTGGAATTGACAAAGAACCATGACTCTGTGATATTTCTAAATAAATGCGATTTTTTTTTCACATATAGAAAATATATCGTGATTTTAAGCGTAATAAAAGTTGAATACACACACACACACACACACACAATAAAGTTGAGGCAACTTATTGCGAGGATTGCAGAGATATTAAATTCCATTTGAGAAAAATCTTTCTTTCTGCATCCATCAATTTCATCGGTATTATTGCTAGAGAGTTTTTCAATAAAATATTTTCAACACAAAATATTTAAAATCATTTTATTGACGTATATGTATTTTAAAGATATTCTATTTTCACTTACAATATATTTATACAGCTTAAGATACATGTGTTCACAGGAGATATAAGCTTAACGCATATATTTATGTACAATATATTATTATGTAAATTACAACATTCTCTGCGACTTATTACATATATTAATTATTAATTGCGTGCATTTACGTAAATATTATGGTAAGTTATTTTACACGTATTGTATCACTTTTTTCAAAGAAATTATTTATTTTCGAAGTACTTAAACGCAATATTTTTTCATTTATTCGTATGCTTCGTATTATCGGCGTATTTATTTACGGTGTTTCATTAAATTCGCGTTGCAGAATCAATACTTTCGACGATACGGATTGCACTTTTTTTTGTTTTAATCGTAAATTATATTTTTAACTCTTTACTCTCTCTTCGCCAACGTTATTGCGAGCATCGCGTTATTGTGTTTGTTATTTACCGCTCGAGTAAACGTTACGGGTCTGTGAAAAAAATGGTTGAAAAGACTACACGTACTCTCTTTGTTTGAACTTTAATTTTGTTATTCAAACAGCACATTTGTTTTACGAGAGAACGCACTTATCATTTAAACAGAGCTCTATTCGAAAATTCACGTAAAAAAATTTGCGCAGGTCACTGAGTTGTAACAAATAATTATACGTTGTTATAGTTTATAACCTGGTCGATCCAGATAATTTTTGCGAATAGAGTTTTAATCTATTCACCATAACGAGACCGCGCGTGTAATCTCTTTTAATAAAATGATGCTAATAAATTTATTTGGCTGACGCGATCGGTTGGCGATCAACCGGACACGGTGTGGTTACGCGCTGAAAATCCTAGCGCGATGCGATGAATCGTGGTTGTACGAATCAACCGACAGGATATCAAATTACTGATATCGTTGTAACATAAAAAAAAAAAAAAAAGGAAAAAGTGCTCGATGTGCCACCAAAATGGTGTTTCGCGTAAAAATCTGGATCGGGAGACGAAATGGCCGGAAGGCTAGGAAAAAAAAAAAAACGGATTTGCACGCGGTATCGGCGAACTATCGCGAATAAATGTTTAAGCCAACCTTCCGTTATTTCTATGGCTGAATATGTGCAATATCCATATGCATGAACGATAAAATCAGTTTTTTGTGAGAACAATCATATTTGCAATAGTAGAGAAATAAAATTCTAATAAGTTTTCTCTTTGTTTTGGTAAAAATTGACTTTATTTTACTTTCGAGTTCAAAAATATCCTCTGTAATTCCGAAAGTATTAACTACGCTCGCAAGCGTTTCGTTGACCGCGTTCGATGCGAACCTCGTTCCAAATGTTTCTCGAAAATATTTTTAAAACGTATTCTGCAAACATGTACACTCGCGACTTCCAATATGGAACTAAAAATACAAACTATTTTTATCTCTGTGATGAAGAGTGCCGTTTATAATTCTCTCGATGTTGGCAGGTGACACGTACTTTGTGACAACAGAAACATTTTATCGATGGGTGTTGTTAGTGAAATAATCATTTTATCGATATCTGATAATAAGGAGAAATAAAGATTGATTTTAAAAACAAATAAAAAAAAATCGCTGACTTCGGAAATGTATCGATACTTGCATTATCTGATATTATACCGCAAACTTTTCTGAAGGCGGTGCGAGTATCGCGAATTTCTGCAGTTTCTTCTTTTTCTCTCATCTGGAGGGCCGGGCTTTCGAGATATACGGTGTTACGGAGGCGAACTCGGTCACGTGCGTTGTGATAAGAGAAATTCACGTAGAGCGCTCGCGTCCCCGTTGTCCCCACGGTAATTTATCGCACCCGGTCGGCGAAGGTGTGGCTTTTTCCGGAAGTACGAGTAGCGAGAAAACGGATAGCCGGCGGCATTATCCGCCTTGGACTCTTCCTTCGCGGCGCGACGCATGAACGTAACGGTGAAGAATGCACGTCCGAGCTCGGTTCACATTCGAAAGAACGTGATAAAGTTTAGATGTATGCCTCGCATCAATCATAATTGGCTCCAATTGTGCAGACGAAGGTTTTTTCTCGTTATTCATTTTTTGTTTGTTCCGTGCATGTACGCGCGCGTGAAACGTAAAGTATAAAAAAAACACAGCGATGAGTTATAACGCACTGTGCTCGCTTCCATTTTTTGTTTTTCGCAAATACAAGAACAAATCTTATCGCGTAAATTTCTTTACGTTACCGCGAAAAGAGGTTAGTCGTATTAGTGTACGGACGCATTTTTGTTTATTTTCCTGAAGAAAACAAATATCTTTGTAAATTCAAATATGAGAAAGTGTGCATTTAAAAATTCGATTTTGTGAGCTTGTCCAAAACGAATGTAATATATCTTTCTTATGGTAATTATACGGGGGGTAAAAAATATTTTTTTACATTATTGATGCGAAATAAATATATTTTTTTGCTCGACGAACGTTTCAAACTTCAACAACATTTCGAAACGCGTCGTTCGCCACGCCTTTCAATTTCGCGAGTGCAACGCGTGACGTGTGGGTTCGTCTCCTCGATTCTCGCATAGGTGGGCTCCAGCGCAATAACGCGGCTAGCGACGCATGAATTGCAGATTCGCGCGCAAACACAGCTCGGAAACGAAATTTACGACGCGGCCTTATGTTTATGCACTCCGTTCAAAGCACACCGGGGGGAAAAAAAAAATGCACTAGCATAGTTTCAGGTGAATGCCTAAAGGCTCTATTCAAACGGAACGAAACTGTCTCAGTTTTATTGTGCGTCCGACAGTCTATTTCTTCTTCTCCTCGTGCGCTCAGAGAATATTATCTTTGCAGAACATAAAGTAATATTAAACAATTGCATCGTAAAAAAAAAACAAAACGAAAACGTTTCTACATTCCCTTCGTATAATAGATCTCATTCTTCGCGACTAATTTTGCAAGAGACGTTTAAATTCACGATCTAATATGAACGTTGGCTAAAGCGAGAGAGATTTCGATCAAATATTAGTTTCTCTCACTCAAGGAACAGTTCAGGAATTAAAATAGTACACAAAGTATGAATGATTTTCAAGAAGTTTCGACCATGGAATTCTGAAGGAATTTCGAACAAAATTAATAATCGCGCATCGGCGATCGGTCAATTATATATATAATATCCGCGGCTAACTTTTTCAAAAATACAATACTACGATCTTCATTATTGGATGAGCCAGCAATTGCTCTTCTATTGCCCCCCGTAGTAAGACACACAAACAGAATGCAAGGCAGTTTCCTCTTGTTTACTCAGCCTTGATTGGGTCGTGAATCCATAATGGTCCAGAACCAGTTTCCCGTTGAACGCGCACCAAGAATTGCGAGCGCAAAACTTTATCCGGCATATTTTTATCGTTGAAGTTGTTTGCATCGTCTATACATCCTAGCACGATAGAAGAGAGAATGCGCGCGCGCGCGCTTCTTCGGCGCGAGTTCGTCGGGGAAAAAGTTCTTCGCATTATTTCGCAGTTGGTTCCGGAAACGCGACGGGGTTTCGTATAAATTTTTGTACTGCGAGCGGACTCTTTCTTTTGGTACAGCTTCTTGCAGAAATGATTATGTAAATTTGCGAGAGTGAATTGTACGCTCTATTTGATTACGAATATTTTCAATACAAGCGGAACAGTTGCAAAAAGCCATAAAAATCGTAACAATAGAAATTCGCTCGGAAAGTTTCTTGTTTTTCTTTCTTTTTTCAACAAACAGAAATTACATAGTGAAAGCAATTATATATTCAATTATTGTTCAAACAGTTGCGATTGATAAATCCAATATTAACAAGAAAAGTAAATTATATTACTTATAAATTTGTATGTTTGTTGATATGTGTATAATTCACATGCTTTTATTATTGTAACGTATGAATCCATAGAGCAACATTGTTATCGATGTGGATGTTTCTGTCGGATGGATGTGTATGCACTTTTATGTATCTTCCCTTGTATTTCCGCTGTGGAGCAAGTTTTCGCTATTTATCTCGTTCGGGAATAAAACAACACGATAGCTAGTAAAGTCAAAGACTTCATGCAATTTCCATGCCCCTCTTCCCTCTATCTATGAGCTCACTACCTGTGCGATTATTCTTGGCAATTGATTTTTCGATCAATT